ATTCCACCCTGAATCTCAGAGCGGTTCCTTCCACAGCGAGTCCTGCAAGCAGCAGACAGAACATATAACATTATGCAGAGAGGTGAAATAGATATTTTGGGTAGAGTCTAATACTATGAATCACAGCATCCCATCATAAGGTATTGGCATTTTAAATAATACATGAAATGTGGTATCATAATGGAAGTATATTGTTTGTGGTCTTCCTACAGCTTCATTCTTGCTCGGAAGTGTAGAAGACTGACAGGTCTCACAAAAGAAGAAAGGTAAGTACAAACACTGGAGATCTGTGTGGAATCAGACTCAAAATTTTGTTCTAAGTGACTGGAGCAGGGAAAAAATGCCCCAATTTGAAGGAAGTTGTCTGTAAGCTTGTGACAGCGGACAGACATGTTACTTTAAGGAAGAAGATACCTTACTTGTTTTTGGATGAAGGCCCCACAGAATTTCCAGAAAATGGCAGCAGATGTGGTAGGTAGCCCCTGCCCTTTGGAAGACTCTCTGGTCCTGGTTCTCACTTTCCAGCAGGGCTGCTCTGGTTATGTGACTCTAGCAAAAGAACTGCTCTAAGCTGCTGAATCTGAAAGTAGTGTAGATGTTCTACTGCTCTCACTGGAAAGGGTCTGGGACCAGCCTCATACCCCTGCACTGCCACCTCTTTGGCTTCCTGCAAGTGCACTGAGCAGTTCGAAAGCTTGTCAGAAGGGACAGGTTTGGCCACTGTGCTCATTTTTTTTTTTTTCCTAATCATCCTGGAGGGTCCTTTCAGTATCTGTAACTTAGTGCAGCCTTGAGGCTGCTGTAGCTGCCATGAATGAGACCTCAGCATCATGAAGTCAAAAAGCTACCTCCAGCTCTCCACTCTCAGTTATGGGGGAAACAAATGCCCTTCAGGCATAGATGAAGGTCTTTTTTTACTGTCTTCTTGAAACAAATCTCTGCATACAGTACTGCTCTTTGGTTTATTACTAAAATGGAATTTACAAAGTAATGAGTTTTTTTTCCATCACACTGATTCACAGTATCTGATCAAATTAAAGCTACAAGTAGAGAGTGTGGATATGAGGAGAGCCTTATTTTGACATGGAGACAATATATTTATTTTTAAAGCATGCCACAAGGAATACTGTGTGCAAGTAAACATTTTTACAGTAATAGCTAGTCTAACTAGAGAAGATGTAGTCATCTCAGATTAGCGTTGCAGGTAGTGGATAATGGGTCTAAATGAGGCTGTTAATGTACCAGTCTTTTCAAATGACAGCCTGGTACCACAGAGCACTTTTAATTTTGGCAGAAATGGACAAGGCAGCCTTTTCCTCAGCATGCAGACTTTGAGATAGACCCCCAGCAGGTGACTGACAATGAAGTAGTGTAGGTATTCTGAAATCCAGTGTGCCCAGCATTTTAAGCCATCATAAAACACCAAATGGTGTCTTACACTGTCAATACACTAGATACAGCTGAGCGTTTGTGGTATTTGAGAACAGCTCCTCTTTCTGTGAAATGAAGGGCTGTCCTGGCTGTTTGCAAGGCACCATGAAGGAAAGGTTGCTTTCCCCTGGACGTTAAAAGCATTAGCACAATTATCTGACTCTGCTGCTGCCTACGGCCAAGTTTTAAACAAAAGGATTTTGAACTCTTGTCTTTTGAGAAATAATCTTTAGGTTAGGCAGGACTTTGCTTTGATAAAGAATGGTTATGAAATATGCTTCGGTTAGTACCTGATAGATGTACCCTGGTGCAGGGGTACCTCTCTGGCTCCTGCAGTCCTGGCCACAGCCAGCCAAGGCAGGAACCCGCTGGGCTACCCTGCAGCTCCTCTTCTGCACATGAGCTCAAGTCTCTTTCCAGTTGAAATCAGGGTCCACGAGAAGGCAGAGCATGAACCTGGATCTTCTCCCAGTGTACACTCAGGGTGCCACCAGTTTGTGTTGTTTAGATGGGAGCTGTGGTGTTTGCAGTGAGGGATGTCTTCTGAGGACAGGCTTCTTGCAGCATCCTACAGGAGCTGTATCTCACTGAGATGCTGTGCTCGCCTACTGACACAAGCTGGGCTCTCCCTTTATCACACTGATGACAGGGTAAGGTTTTCAGTAATCCTTGGATATGAAGAGTAGGATGTGGAGTCTGTGGCAGCTATCCTAAATCATGGCTGGGAACCGTGTTTGTGGGAGGGGATGGAAACTGTTTTACAGCCTAAGCCAGACTGAAGGGAGTAAAATTCACTGCTGCCTTCCAGCTGGTCTTCCCAGGCCAGGTGCCAATGAGTAATTACAGTGGTTAGATTGTGCCCTGCCTTTCACAGCTGTGCCACGAAGGCGATGGCATCACACACTGCCATGGAATAAGAGACCAGGGAAAAGAGCTGAATGTCTGGATGTGCACTTCTTCCACACCAGGCACAGTGTAACTCTCAACAGGACCCTACCTAGGTAGCTCCAGGCATAACATTCCTTTTATTTAGTGCTGGTGGCAATTTCACAGCTGAGTCCAAAGCCAAGAAATAAGGATTTTATTCACTGCATATTCCATATATTCCATGCTAGCATTAACCATAAATCCATAAATAAGTATTTATTTAAACTGTTCTAGGACAAAAAGTGCAGATGTTGCAGAGAGACCAGTGCATCTGCAAGGATTGCACTTATTAGAGGGAGCATCCTCAGTGATAAATTACTGTTGGTACAATTCAGTGCTTTAGAAACTGCTTTTTTGTGGTTTGTTGTTTTCCATCAAATAATACCTTATTATTGACGAATAATTTCTTCCAAGGTTGAAATTTCTTAAGAGTCTGAAGATACCTTTGACCTGAAGCTAAATAATTTCTTTTGCACGGCTATCTTAAACTAACTTTATCTGTATTTGCAATGTAGTTAGCAAACAGCAGTGAACTTACACCTTCTTGGAGCCCTGCAGTTGGCCATACATGAGAATCCCTACCAGCCTCTGGTATGCCATTTCCAGATTCCCTGGAGGGTCTGCAAGTCACGTATGGAAAAAGGGCAGATCTAGAGGGGTCCTTCTCATCTCTGTCATGGTGCTGGGAGGAGCAGAAGCAGATGGGTCCCCAGGTGATAACTTGCTTTCCTGTGGAGCCCCGTGGCGTGACTGACCTGCCCTGAAAGAAGGGGCCGGTGGGCATCTGTGAGAGGTGGTGGGCTGACCTCAGCAGAGACTTTGCTGGATCATGCTGCTAAAATGGCTTTATTCTGTTCAGACACTGGGTAGGTGCTGGTGGTCTGCAGGGCATGGTGGTCACCTCACTTAAGGAGAGAGGTGGAGGAGATGCTCCCTTTTATTATGGCTATTGCTGGATCCATGTCACCCCCTGACTGCAGAGGGATGTTCATGTATCGACCCCGCAGCTCTCTGAGCGCTCCTGGTCAGGCTCTGTGTCGCCACGCGTTTCTGCTTCTGGAGCAGGCTGACCCTTGTCCTCTGCCCCAGGGCAGAAGGAAGGCACTGCTTCCTTCTCCTCTGCTGCTGCTGGGCTTGACACCCACCAGCAGCCAAATCACCCCAGGGCCACGGCTCTTCCTGAACTGTAGCAGCCTTCACTTTCCTCCTCAAGCCCCAGCCTGCACAGGAGGACACCTTTTTCAAGGCCCTTCAGGTTTTCCTTTCTTTTTTTTTCCTTTTTTTTCTCTTCCTCATCCCCTTTCTATAGCATTCTTTGAATTTGGCTGCTCGTGGGTATAGCTGGGCTCCTGTATAGCTGTGTTGCTTCATACAGCAGTATAGACATGGTTTCCTCACATGCTTATATAGCTGCAAGTGTAGCCCATACAGTTACAGAGCTGGGACTGCTGTATTTCTGTGCCCAGCATGGCTTTCTGTAGAGCACAGGATTTGCTTCCAGAAGTAAATGTCTTTCCAGTGTTGTGTTTGTGTGTTTTTCATAATTGTTAGCTGTTTTTTCATCTTGATCTTCTTGTGTTTGGGAATTGGTGCAGTGCGGCTAACAGTAAGACCCAGAAGGTTGTAGGAACAAACTTAATTGCACTTGGGGTTTGCTACAGAATGAAGCATATTCATGGATTTATAGACCCATAAACTAAAACAGGAGGAAATTTTATAGATATAGAAATAAAGTACTGATTCCCTGAGAGCCTCAGGCTATCAATACCTGCATCTTTGTAGGAACAAACCATAAGTTAAACTGTGTGCCAAGACAAAAAAGTGCAATGCCTTACTACTTTCTTTTCCTGACAGCCTAGAGAACCTTTGGCTAACGTATGGATTTGGACTGCAAGAGGAATCTTAAGGGAACAGCTCACGTAACTGCTGGTAAAACCGGCACTTATGCAGCACAGGCATTTGAGTGAGTTATTTCTAGTGATCCAGAGGCTGACCGATTAGGATAGATCCCAAAAAGCTGGAACCTCAAGTGCAAGCAGACATTAATACTTGTTCTCTTGAAACTAGGACATATTAGAGGTGTTTTTTTTTTCCCTACCTCTTTTCTCACACAGAATTCGTCTGTTGCTTTTCTCTTGCAGGAAGACGAGGCTGTGCGAGCTCTATGCAAAGGTTCTGGGATCAGAGGAAGCTTTACATGTAAGCACAAAATCTAAACCGCAGCATCTCTTGTCGGACTTGTTGAGGTGGGGAAGGGCAGAATGAAAGCAGAATGCAGCAGTGCTCTGGCACAGGGCTGCCTAGCCTTTTGGAAAAGGTACCTGCGACGGGAGCGCTTGCTGCTCTCTGGAGAGGAGTGGAGAGAAGGTTGTGGCAAGTCTTGGGTTGTGTTTGACAGTGAGGATAAGAATGAGCCTATGAAGCACTTAAGGCAGACATCTTCTTGTCCAGCTTCATGGGTGGCATTCACAGTGCCTACCACCATACATCTCGACTGGTTTCATTCAGATGTGACAGGCTTGCCTTTCCCTCTCAGCCTATGTTGGGCACATGTTTCTTCACTCTTACTACTTGCTAAGATCCATTGCTGTCTGTTTCTTTTTTTTTCGTTTTTTTTTTTTGTCCTTTCCCTTGCCTTCTCTTCCCTGTAACGGCAAATAACTGATAGGATTTGTGTGATCTCACGCTTAGTTTATATGATCAATGCCATTTATCCTTTAAGGGCAATTTTACACCAGTTAAATGTTGTAACCACCAATCTCAAGATTACATCATTTTAACCACAATGATATTGTACGCAGAACCATGCAAGTGCCATACTTTGCATTTTTAACAGTACGTATTTGTATCCAATGTACATATTACAAGTATTATACCTGTGTACACCAGAGGTTAATTTTGCTTTACATGGCTCAAAGCACAAATTTACATTGACAGATTAAGAGGATTATGTTCTACAGTGGCTAGATTAGCTAATTTTTTTAAAAATAGCTAGCAGTGTCTAAAATGAAGGCTTATTGTGTCAGATCCATATTGCATTAAGAGATTTGTTAAATGTGCTCCTCTTGTCAGATGTTGGCATGCCACAAATCATAAGCTATTCTTCTCTGCTGTCTCCTCAGTTCTTTTATTAGCTTCCTTGGGACTTTGTCCTTTCCTTGAGTGACTTAATCTCTGTTTTACAGCCAGTGCATTACGAAGAGAAGAACTGGTGTGAAGAGCAGTATTCTGGGGGCTGCTACACAGCCTACTTCCCACCAGGCGTAATGACTCAGTATGGAAGGTACAGTGTCTATTTATAGTGGGCTTCGGAGTAGTAAGATAAGACGAAGTTAATAAATATCCTCAGAAGGGGTCATAAATCCTCTGTCACTACCCGCATTATACCTTTAAGATCACTGGGGAATATTTTAAACAGATATTATAACCTTCCACTTGTCTCAGTTGGGCTTTATGATGGATGAGTACAGTATCATTAGGGGTTTTTATTCACTGAATACAGCTGAGTAGGTTCTTGGAAGGGAGTTGGGAAGCTTTCACAATCTGTTTACAAAACTGACTTTGAAATCGGTGTTACCGTTCCCAGCACATCTTTAGCTGATATTTTATAAATACTGGCAGAGAGTTAATTTTTGCCAGCATTGATAGTAATGAGTGATTTCTTTGAACTGTTCCTTTCCTTTCAGCAGTCAAGCCTTAATATAGTAATCAGTGTGCTATTGTATACAGTCCTCTCTGACATAAGTTTTTGTATGAAAATAAGATTTACTCGAAAGAAAAAGGCTTACTGGTCAGACTGGTGATTGGATTCAGTTTTTCATGTGGTGGCATAGCCCTACTTCTGAAGTATAAGATTTCACAATTTAAAAAGAACTTAAAGCAATAAAGCAGTTGTAATGAGGAACATATGGAAGCCTTAGTATGTAAAGTAATTTTAATGATAATTACTGCAAATTCTGGCGAAAATAGCATTTTTTTAAAAAATCCTTTTTTTATTAGCTTGTTACTTTAGATATTGTGGGATGTAGTTCACAATGCTACAATGTGCCAGTAATGCCTAGCATTGGTATTTATGACGCTGGCTAAAAGCATAAGACAGAATAAGTTTCATCTCAAACTAATTGCCCTTTACACGTAGGAACAGTGCAAACATTTAGAAAACATGAACTCTGGTGTGTTTACTATAAGAAATGAAATGTGATGCAGACTTCCCCTCCAGCTCAACTCGCCCAAAGTTACTATCTTTAAGTGCTTGCTGTTATTTAAAACACTTCTATTCTAATATTAACCCAGCTATCTTTCCATATATAGCTGATGTGACTTACTGCTTGTCCCCCTCCAGGATTATTCGGCAACCCGTTGGCAGGATCTATTTTGCTGGCACAGAGACAGCCACAGAGTGGAGCGGATACATGGAGGGGGCTGTACAGGCTGGAGAAAGAGCAGCCAGAGAGGTACAGACACAAACCCAAAACAGGGCACACTGTCAAATATCCTGTGGAAAATGAAAGAACTTCTGGTTGGAGGTGAAATGGGACTGTTGACAGCTTCAGGCATTCTGTAATCTTGATGCAAATCCCTGTAAAGGGGGTAGACTTCAAAAAAGAATGAAGGTTTTGCAGATTTGGAATGCTTAGGAAGGGCTGCAGCTATTTCATCAAACTTTTCTGTTTCCAGGAATGAAATCCTTTTTTCTTTAACAGAAATTCCAAATTCTGACCTAGTCTTTTTTTTTTCTCCAAAATGGGCACTTTGTAGTCATTGTTCTCAAAGATCATGGCCATTAGCCTCACCAGGAACAGCTCAGTTCTGCAGCTCTGCACGCCAAGCCAGTCCCTTCCTCAACTGTTTCCAGTAATACCATTGACGCAGTGATACACCATTGAGACAGCCTTACATAAAGCCATTAAACAAGGACTTAAATATTTTACTTATGAGAAAATGCCAATTCCTCAAGTATTTTCAGGAATATTACAGTTTATGGAGCAGCAAGAGAAATTTCATCTTTGTTTTAGGAGGTGAAGGGAACCTTGTGGCTAAAAACTACAGTCACGGAACACAAATTGGCGTGGAATGGATCTGGAAAGTTTGTCTAGCCCATAGGACTGCCCCAAAAAACAGGGATCAACTGTCCCTAAACCATCCCATTTGTGAAGGTTATACCGAACTTGCTCTTGAAAACCTCTGGAGGTACTACTTCATGACCTCTCTAATGTAAGGACATCACAGCAGAACCTCCATAGACCTCAGCAGAGCAGTTGGCAAGTGAGCTTGACTGGTAAAAATTTTGTTGTTTTCCTTTCCTCGTTTACTTGTGAAAGGAAAATACATTTAAAATCTAGTGCAAGGGTGTTTCTCACTCTCCTGTATTAAAAAGTTGATGGAGTCCGTGAATCTTGTCTAGAATAAAAACTCGTCGTAAAAGACAGCAAATCTTAAATCTCCAAGTGCCTGGAATAGGAAAAACATTAATATCACCACCTCCATTTTATTTTACTGTAGAAGTAGTTAATCTTGCTGTCTTTCATGACTATTATTTCAGATAATCTTTGCTATCCTACTGATCTCTGGTATCTTTGACAGTTTGGTTACTTTTCCATTGTGAAGGTTTTCTTTTTAGTCTTGCTTTTCTTTGGCTGAAAGTGATGGTCCATCATCACTCACAGGATTCTGTTTCTCTTCCTACATCCTGGTAAAATGTGCAAGACAAGCTACTCCTGGCTGTATAGCTTGTCCATGCAGTAGCTGGTTTATGCACGCCTCGCTTTGCCATGAGTGTATACTTAACTCTTAGTTACATCATATTACCCTGTTCCCATGGGACTAGTCAAGTTCTGATATCTTGCATGGACTAACTAAGCACAGAGAGGTTTTTCTGTTACTGTTTCTATTTTCTACTAGAAGGAGTATCTTATTAGTATCAGGCCTGACCTGAAATGAATTGTACAAAGGTCGAGTTTTCTTTTAAAATTTGAATACGCAGTGATTTATGTGCTTGATTGTTGTCTTTGTCATGCCATTTTAAAACAAAAATTGAAGCCAGCTCTCTTTCCTTTTCAAAGAATGAATTGGACTTACTAGACGATGTTATTTATTTTCAGATACTGTTTGCTATGAGGAAAATCCCAGACAGTGAAATTTGGAAGCCAGAACCTGAGTCAATTGTAAGTCTTGCTGTAGATTAAATGGATTATTGTTTTTCTGTGGTTTTGCTGATGAGATAAAATTTTGTTGGCTGTTTTGATTTAGTAAAATTAAATAAAAACCACAATAAACTTTCCCTTACTTACCAAAACTGCCCTTCCCTAGACAGGAACGTGATAGAAACTGAGAGAGGGCACCCATCTGACAGCTTTGTAATGTGGGATCAGAAAGAGCTGCTCTTTTTAGCCAGGCTATGAATCCTTTCCATGTGTCTCCTCTTCTTTCCTTTAACTGAGCAGAAAATTTTAATATGCTGTACTTCTTGATAATATGAACTACTTCAACCCAATTCTGTTTCTGCCACAAGAATCTCTCAATTTACATCTGGCCTCTCACAGTGGAGATGTTATATTGATAATGGATGCTCTCCCCGCAGGATGTTCCGGCTTTGCCCATCACCACAACCTTCTGGGAGAGGAACTTGCCATCTGTGCCAGGACTGCTAAAGCTGATTGGATTTTCCACTTTCTTCACCTCTGTGGCTGCAGCTGGGTTATTTGCCTACAAAAAGGGACTTCTAGTTCGAAACTGAAAAAGGTGCCGACACAAAACCTCACACTTGAGCAGGTTTTTTTTCAGAGGTTTTGTTGGCATTGTACTTCCTTGTCTCCAAAATCAGATGGGGACTGGGGAAGAGGAGAAAACAGTAGAGAGAAGAGGCTGGAGGGGAGGGGTAAAGGAGGAGGATCCATATTGGAAAGAGCCCCTTGAATCCAGGCCTACTTCTAGCAGTAACTTTTTTGTTGTTGAATTTCTGGGATACCCTGCCAAGCATTATCACCTTGAGGTTTTTATCCAGATCTCAGAACAGAAGTGACAAAATACCTCTATAAAGCCTGTTCTGATGAGATTTCCAGTTCTTTTTACACTTATATCTGAACCAGACCCTGAACTCTAAGTCTTCACAGGCACTTCCCATCTGTAGTTGTAAACAAAGGATTTCTGCCTTCCTGTGTGGTAGACTGAGAAAAGAAATCATAGCTTAAAGAATAATTAACTAGTTCATGCAAATTGCTGGTAAGGATCTTTTTAGTGTTTGTATTTTTTCACCTGGATGTCCAGATCCCAGGCAGCACCTAAGGGACAAGTCAGGCTAAATTTATCCATCCAGACTATGCAAGTGTGGCCATAGGTTGTTGGCATTTCCAGTGGCATATTTGTCCTACAGTGGGTTAAAGGACAATGTTTTTACTGCCTTTGGCAATGTGGTTGTATTCTGCCTCCCCAGCTGTGTTTACACTGCCTGGAAGGGCAGAGCTGTGTGTCCCAGTTGAGTCTGTCCCTGTGCAGGATCAGATCTCTGCCTAGAAAGCTGGCAAGCTCCAGACTGATGTGTACAGCAATATGGCAGATCAGGCTGCTGGACCTGAGTGTGAATGGGGAACCTTGTGCTAATGTACAGACACAGCCTTTTGAACCTGTTTCACCCTGTCTGACATCTCTTTGCCTCCAAGGTTCTTTTTTAGCTCCCTAAGTTGCTGCAAGATACCAAGAGAACAAATTAACCTGTGCCTACCGCAGGAAGTTGTAAAGCCGTCCATAAAAAAAACTTTTACGTATTTTTTTTTTCTTCCTCCTTCCTTTCGTCTACTTTAAATTTAATGCTTTGAACACCTTGAGGCTATCTCTTGCCTGGTAGGGCACAATGGGCTTGAAAATGTAGCGTTAGCATAAAAAAACCCAAAAAAACACAACCAAAAAACCCTGACAAAACCCCCAACTTGACTGTCCTCCAACACTTGCTTGATGTAGAACACAGCTTAGCTGATTCAGAGCTTTGGTCTTTCTTAACCACCATATTGATGGGATTAGCACTTCCACTTCTGCCTGCTCTGCTGTATTGTACTGACTCTGCACTTTTGGTAATTAATCAAGGATCTAAATGATAGAGAGATCAAAGAGAACCACGGATAGGATAGTCACATGCAAGTGCTTCTGCCTTCCCTAGCTTGATACCTTTCAAACAATGTAAAAAAAAAGAAAAAAAAAAAAGAGGGAGAAGAAACAAAAAAAAACCCCAACCACCAAAACCTTAGATGCCTACCTGTCAGCATGACAGTACCTTGTTCTAGATATTTCTGCTCTTTGGCATCTGCACAACAGAACAGGAAAACACAGGTAAAACAGAGAACAGGTTTTGGTGCACATGAAGTTTGAGATGTCCGGAATTTTTCTGAGCCTGTTTGCTGCACTTCTCCCTTCAATCAGTGCCAATTTATATGTAAAAAATTGCATTGCAGTGAAACACCATGGAGGGAAGTACAATAATATATTCAGCAACTAGTGTGAGCAGACGGTAGAGGAACCGTATCACCAGTCTCAGGCAGACTTTTTGGGCTAGCATCTGATCTTGCTTGTGCAGAGTAGTACTTCGTTCTCCAAATAGTCCCATGGAAATCTGCTGAACTACTTACAAAGCTGTAATATTTGTGAGCAGCGCATCAGTTTCTGGCCCTTAGGTTTCATTCTTTTTAACTTGATGTGCCAGTTAAAAATCTTGTGGTGGCAGCTTGGATTTTATCACAAATGAACATCCTCGTAATAGCCTTTTAAAATGCATAGGGGAACTTTTCAGACATAAAGATCTTTTAAGTCAGAAGAACGGTGCAGCAGTGTACATATGGCCTATCTCATTGTATCCCGTAGAGCACTAATTGCCTGGGACATTTGCCTACCACAGAGTGCTTCTATGTGGCTTTCTCTCTGTGATTTATTTACTAAATGAAATAGAAACCGAAAGTTGAACGGGAACTGTGTAAGTTCAGAGCTTTTGCAACTCAGACAATTTTCAGGCCAGAAATAAACATAGGAGCCTAAATTTGGGAAGACGTTTTTAAAGTCTTGGCCCAATATTTCTAAGTGCTAGATAGTGAATACGTAGAACTGCTGTGTTTGCAGATGATTTCTCTGCCAAAACTGTTTGGAATTCAAGTCCTGCTTCTGCCCTAGAAATACTCTGCAGGTCTCTAAAGGGGAGCAGATCCATGAGACTAATGAGGATAAATTGGTTTTATTCATGTCCAAAATGTATTTATCTCCTTTGCTCCTGAATCTGGCAGAGGTTTTTCCCATCTGACAAGAAAATGTTGTGTGCCACAGGGCAGAAAATCCATGGAAAAACAGAAGTTGGGTATAGTTAGAACTGAACTGAATCATAACCAAAGCTTTTGGTCAGATTGGTCAATTAAAAAAAAAAAGTCTATATAGTTGTAAACCTTTCTTATTCTTGTTTTCAAAGTGAAACAAAAATGGAAAAAAAAAAACAACCCACAAAGCACTTCTGATGTTATTCTGCCACAACTAAAAGTAGGTGTGACTTAAACTCAAATTAAATTTGGATTTCCTGAGATTTCTAGCCAAATCTCATGGAGCTGGGAAGTCTGAATGGCAACGTCTGTATTAGCACTCAAAAGTCTGTCTTCTTCCTTCCAGACTGCCAAAGCATTAGGAATGCTGTCTTTGTCTTTACAGCCGTGTCTTGCTACCGTTACGCTGTGGAGTTTATCATCACTGGGGGATTAAAAAGAAGGATTTGCTGCCGTTTTCTCGACATCTTCCACATGAAAGGAATATGTGGCACTTTGTGTCTATCGATGCCCGTGTGATAAGAAAATTGGCAAATGTAGGTAGAGAATCAAGTTGCTTCCCCATGGGTAGAGGGAACTGTTAGCACTGGCTTACTTTTTTTTTTTCTTTTTTTAAAAATTCCTTCATGCCAACCCTTCAAAGAGAGGAATGAAGCCTGGTTTAATGGGTAACCAGTCATGCTATATTCTTAATTTATTAATATGTTTGATTAGAAATCTGCTATCATGAAAGTTCCAGCAGTTTACTAGCTTTGTAAAATATATTATAGGAACAACCATGGAAGTAATTGTATTTGTCTCTTATGAACTGATTTGTGTTACCATGCATATTTTGTAAGGCTCTTAAGAGTTTGAAAAAAACACAACAAACCCCACAAGGTTTGCTTGCTTGTACACTGTTCTGATAGCAACTGTATGTTGCAAAGGATGTCGGGTCATGGCATGAAAATCTGCATTAACCAAAGTACTTGACAGCTAATGGTATAAACTAGTCGACAATACCAAGGAGATGAGCCATCTGAGGCAGCCCCTTGCCCTTCCTTTAACTAGTGCATTTTTTTTCTTGGTGCAGACCTTGATTCCAAATAGCACATGTGCTGTCAATACAACAGAGACATTAATCACACTTAAGTATATATCTGAGCAATGTCCGTCACTGGAACCCAAGGCCTGGAGGAGAAGCTAGGGACTGCTATTAAAATCATCTTCCTGTGTCCTCAGTGGGACTGTTGTTTCACTGAGGTACACTTTACAGAAGTGCAGAAATTTTAAGATTCTTAAATTACTATTTTTTTTTGAGACATGAAAGAAAAATATTTTTGAGGAAGAAGGAATTGTATGTCCTCCCAAAGTATTTGGATGCAAAAGGGAGCCAAGATTAAATGACAACAGATCTGCCACTGCTCCGACAAGAAGCAAACCCACTTAAATCACAGATCACAAATGCTCACAAACAAACCTGACCTGTGTTTAAGTGGACTAACATTCCTTCTCCCATCTCCACCACTTTAAGATCACCTTGATCTTACAGTCTGTTCTTCAATAGAGATAAAAAAGAGATGGCCAAAGCAGTCTTGCTTTCAAAGTATCTCTACGGTGAAATTGTTTAGGCGCTGTCATAGACTGCTGCTTATAGCGTGTCTCCTGTGGTCATGTACAGGTCAGTGTTCAGTGATGCCTGCCTCTGTGTTTTGGAAAAAAAGAGTGACTTCACTTTGCAGGAATATATATGCTGTGTGTGTGATGAATTTGTGCCTTTTATAACTGTAGCATTTTCTCAAGTGCCTCTGTGGTGACTGTCTCCCTTGGTTTCCTTCTTAAGTTCCCTTTTCAATAGGCTCTGCAGATATTTTTATCTGACAGCTGTGAACTTTTTTTAACCTTAATTAGAAACAATAAATATTGTCATGTCACATTTACTGTTTGAGGCTTTTCTTTTGTGGAAGCCCCTTTTGGCTTGGTTGTGATGGTGAGTATTACTTGGTAACGCAACATTTTGCATTTCATACTGAAGCCAGTGAGGTATCTTCAGCTTTTCTTAGTAAAGAAAGCTCTGGAAAGCAGGAGAGGAGGATTTAAAAAAACAAAAACAAAAACCCAAAAAAAACCCCAAAAAACCCAAAACTGCCAAGAAGCAAAGACGACCCCACCCCTCAAAAAAAACATACACCAAAAAAATCAAAGCCAAAAAGACCGAACACTAAAAAAATCAAAGCACACTTGGTAATAATTCTTCCTCACATATAGATGGCCAACTGTCTTAGACTTAAGAATTAGCCTTTATTGCTGTGGGTGGATTTGGAGTGTCCCCATCATGAACATACCTCTCTCACAGCACCGTGTGTACCAGAACATGTATGGGCAGGGACTGAACATGGGCAGAAGCAGACCTTGTACCAAATACCATGTGGTGTAAAGATAAAAAAACCTGGATGAAGAGACAGACAAAAATCACTGGCTTAATTTCATCCAGCAGCTCAGTGTCAGTGCTGGATGGATAATGTAACCGAAGAACAAATTTGGTCTTGGGAAGGGACCTATGTTTCACAAAAATGTAGTCTATAAATGCTGGAAAAAGTGTAACCATCTGTGTGAAAAACGTGTTAAAAACATGCAGTATTCTTTGTATAGGCTTAACTTTCAGGATTACTTACAAATCATAAAGGAACACAAATACCATGATAGCAAATATCCTCAACTAATCCTTTGCATGCTCTGCAAAGCATCTGTCCCTTAA